GTATCGATTTCAGGTTTCTAGAATTTGGAGGGTGCTTTGATTGGGGGTCAGAATGCTGGAATTTGTCTGAAATTTAACAAAAATTGGATATGTTTTCAATTTCCAGCATCTACCTGTTATACTGTTGCCCCTGAATAGAAGACGTCTCCTCTACATTCTCCTCAGGCTCATCTTGGTTTCTTTCACTTTGCTGGCGCTCCTGATTATCGATTTTAGCCAAACTCTGTTGCATTATCAAATCCACATTAGCACGGACATATCCCTTCTGGTACACTTGCTTTATGTATTCTCCTGAATAATTTATTTTTGTTCTGTATTTTTTGAGAATTCAAAAAACCACTCACTAAATTCTTGCTTTTTGTCTTCTGACGATATTTCCAGCGATTTTATGAAATGTTCAACATTCAGATCTGTCTAATCCAGACAATTGCTCATGAGTTGGTGTCACAAGGATATGAGAAGTGACCTCATTAATTGTCATTCTGTCAAATCCTGGAATTCCTGCTCTCAAGCGTTTTCTCATCTCCGCCAACAGTTTTGATTGCTCCTCAAGACATGAATTTTTCGCTTCCAACACCGCCACTTCTCTCACTTTCGATTCCAGTCTCTCCTTTGTTTCGTTGAGCTCCTGGAGCATTTTCTTTTTGTCCTCTTCTACCTGTAAGAATCATTCTAACACAATCAAAACTAGAAACTGCCTATATTTGAAAAATCTCTCATATTAGAAATTGTATCCAAAAGATTGGAAATCACTTCATCATGTGACATTTTGACAAATCCTCGATTCTCCACTCCCAAACGATTTCTTGTGATAAAAGACAGCTCATACTGCTCCTCGTAACGTTTTAACTTGTCTTCCAAATGCTCAATTTCTTTGATTTTTTCTTTTGTCAAATGAGCGATTTGAGCAATCAATTTCCTATTTTCCTCCTCCATATCCTCTAACTTCTCCTCAAATGTATCACAATTTCTAATCGATCGATTCAGCTTTGACTGTAAATCTTTCTTTTCGCTGAGCAATTTCTTCACAGTTGAATTCTTGGCTTCAATTTCTTCTTTGAGTTTTACGATGAATTTCTCCATACGCTTGCAAATTTTTCCTGCTTTATTGTAGTCTATTTTCAATTTTTCGAGTCTTTCTTCCAAATTTTCTCTTGGTGTTTTGAGAAGGGAACACTCAGAACGGCTTAATTGTAGACTTGATTTTTTGGAGCGATTGACGTCGTTGGATGTATTCAATGCAATACCTATAAACAATTCTGAAGTCTATTTTGATTCGAAAACAGAAAACTAACATTTCATTGTGCATTTTGCAGGATTCGGAAGCTGTTCATCACTCTGTTCATCGTAGCCTGACATGGACAATTTTCTGAAAAAAAAACACTTTTTAAACGTTTTTTTGAGTTTGAATCATCAAATTGAAACAAAGTAAATTACAAAAATTATCCCAAAAAATGGAAAAGAATAAAAAATGGGGACAAAAACTGAAAAAAATGTGGATTTGAAAAATTCCCGGTATGTAGATCAGATGATCTACTTTTGATCTACTTTGGAAAAAATTTCCAAAAAAAATTGGTTTTTTTTTAATTTTCAGAACTCACAATCAGAGCTCCCTTTTTTGTCTTGATTATAGAAACGTGGCAAATTACTGTAAACATCCTAATAGAACGCCACACGAATCGTCAAACTTGAGCCAATTTATCTCATTTTCTGTGAGAGATATCAAAAAGTCGCTAGCTAGTGAAATGTTGCTGATATCATGATAAATATTTTATTGGTTGACAACTTTTTGATATCTTTCAAAAGAAGTGAGATATATAGGCTCAAAGTGGACGGTCCGGGTGGCATTCTGTTAGAGTGTTTACGGTATTCCAAAGTTGATAATAAATGTACTTTATTGATTTATCTCGAGATAAAATTGGTATTTGCAGGATGCAGTGAGAAAATGGAAGTGTAAAAATTTTCTGTATTTCTAGGAAGATCATGGGGATGGATATGACAATAGAAAAATGAAGGAATTTGTTGAAAAAATAAATTTTCAGAATCAAAGAGAAAGGTCTGGGACGAAAAGTGGTTCAAGATCAGAGGGCAAAAAAAAAGAAAATCGAAGAAAAACGAAGCTTCTGGAAGGAATGGAGACCAGCTTGAACACTTGATTTATCGTTTTCTCTGCATATTATTCATATTTTCCCGTTTTCAGAATTCAACAACTCACTTTTTTTTGCAGGCTGTGGTCCTAAAGTGGATGGAACACCATCCTGCTTCTCCTGAATCTCAATAAATTTCTTAACCATCTGATTATATTTTTCCTCTTTATTAATCCTTTTCGATTCGACAATATCCATAATTGTCCTAAATCTATCTTTGAAGTACTGTAGCTCTTCCATAATTTTCTCCCCTCTCTTCCGAAGTTTTATGTTCAAATCCTGCGCACGACGCATGGCTTTCATAAGATTGCCCAACGGTGGTTCATTTTTGCCTCCAAAATTATCAAAATACCCGTCTCCATCCATTTTCGCTTTTCCCTCATCCCATGCCTCTTCGACCTCTCTTTTTGCTTCATTTACCTTTTCTACCTTTGCCTTCAATCTTCTAACTTCTTTTTTTTGATTTACACGAATTCTATTCATTTTATGGACCATTTTCTTTTTGAATAAACGAATATTCTTTCTCAATTTATGGTACTTCTTTTTAGCGATCATTTGCCTTTTTTGTGCCATGTCATGGCCCATGTGGACTGATTTTTCAGCCTGATTGCTTGATGACGGTTCTGGAACGCCTTGGCTGGAGGAAGCCATTAGCACTGAAAGAATTCAAATTTAATTTGAATGTCAGTTCGAAACCGCGACCCGTCGAAACCAGTCATTTCGAAACGACTTGACACTTCGAATTCAGTCATTTCGAAACCGGTCATTTCGAAACCGAGAAAAAGTTTCGGAATGACTGGTTACGAAAAACCTGGTTTCAAAGTGTTACGCAGTTTCGAAATGACCGGTTTCGAAATGTCGCGGTTTCGAAATGACGCCGAGCCTTGAAAAAACAAATACTCACCAACTTTAGTTTGATATTTGTCCTGAATCACAATCAATTTCTCCATCATCTTCTTGTATTTTTCCTCTGTCTCAATTCCATCTGTTTTGAAGATATCGCCAATTTTTTTGAAACCATCTTGATACCACTGGAATTCTGATTTAACAGCGTCTCCTTTCAATCTCTTATGCAGCATTTCATTTTTCAATTTCTCCTGTCTGATAGCAGTACGAATTCTGACCGATTTCTCGTTTTCTTGGAGATTTAAGCCCAGCTCCCAAAGACGGTCATCATTTTCCCTTTGTTTACTTCCTTGGTTTCTTTTTCTAATTTCTCCAACTCATTCTTCAACTTCTTTACTTCCTCTTCATAACTCTTTTCCATCGAATTCTGGTCTTTTCTCGTATTCCATATTCCTTCAATCTCCCTTTTCTCATTTTCCAATTCCTTCATTATTGTGATTTTCAACTGTAATCGATCCCTCTCTTCATCAAATTACTTCATACTATTCTTCTTTTCATTCAGCTCTGTTTCATACAAAATGTCGGCCTTTTTCAGATCAGCTTCCAGTGTACTTATTGCTTCCTTATCCGTTTGTGCCTTCTCTTTCAGTTTTTCCTCCAAATTTGAAATTATCAATAATTGATTTTGGAATCCGGCTTTGGCGTTTTGCGTAGCGGTTACCAGCTCTCTATACACTGAAAAAGTTGAACATTTTCAAGTTCACTAAATCTGGAATAGCGATACAGAAGCCCTCAATATAATGCACACACACTTTGAGCTCAGTTATCTCACTAGTCAGTTCTCTCAATAGATATCAAGTATCTGTCAACTGATAAAATGTTGATGATAATATGATAAAAATTGTATCAGTTAGCGGATTTTTTATATCTTTACAGGAACTAAGATACCGTAAAACCTCTAATAGAACGACACCCGGATCGTCCACTTTGAGCCTATATATCTCATTTTCTGTGAAAGATATCAAAAAGTGGC